GAAGGAGCAGGGCCTGATCGACTTTAACTCACAGGATTTAGAGAACTGGCTGAAACAATGAGCAATTACCAATGCCTCTCTTGTCAAGCATGGCTGAGGTGCACAACAGAACAAAGCAAACTTCATGCCCTACATTAAGCAAGCCTGTGGATTGCAGAAGGAGGAAAAGTCAGGTTAGCTACAATTCCCAGAAAAAAAGCCTGAAACATAAATAAATAATGAATAAATACCACAAACTATTCATAAGCACAGAAGATAACAAAGCAAAGTCTTAGGCTAATATGGGTTTAATCAGAAACAAATTGCATCCAACCAAGCTAATTTCCCTCTGTGACAGGCCGCGTGGATAGCAGAGAGGCTGTTGACGTTACATGCCTCGACTTGTAAAGCTTCAGATGCATAACATCCTCATAAGACATCAAATAAATGGTCTCAAATAAACTTTCACATAGCAGATGCAAAACTGACTGGAAATATGATACTTGGACGCGAACTATCAATGGGTCACTGTCAAAACGGAGGGATTAACCCAGTGGAGTTGTGTTGTGTTTGTTGTGAGTCCAGCTTTCTTCAAAGTTTTCTCTAAGAACCTGGGCCATGAGACAGATCACACGCTTGTAAAATATGCAGCTGCTATGTAGCTGGGAAGGACTGCCTGAAGACAGGTTTGAATTCTGATTTTGGCAAAGTGGGGAAAATGTCTGAAAAAAAAAAATTGGATCCCATTCAGTAGAGATAAAGATGGGGAAAAACTGCCCACAATTCCTCAGAAAGTTATGGAGGGAGTTGAGGTGGACTGCAAGCTGAACATGAGTCAGCTATGTCTCACTGCTACAAACCAAGGACAAACATTGTCCTGGGTCATACAAACATGAGTCCAGCCTGTAAACCATGTGCAGTAACCCTTCTGCTCTGGTCAGCATGGCAAGGCCTTAGCCAGAGCATCCCATCTCATCTCGGGACAGTGAACTTCAGAAAATATGTGCACCAGCTGGAAACAGCCTAGAGGAAAACAACAGGAAGAATCAAAGGTTTAAGAAAACCTCACCTGCAAGGAGAGCTTTGAACAAACTGGAGTTGTCCATCATAAAAGAGAAACTCATCAGGAGACAGGACACAAGAGTCTTCAGAATCCTGAAAGTCTCACCTGCCTTTCTAAGCCCAGGCACTGGACAACCTCCACCTTGGAAACACACAGCAGGTAATCAATATGAGCTTTAGGAAAGTACACCAGGTGATTGAGGGTGGTCCAGTGGAGATCACGGTGTAAGCAAGAACTTTTGGCCACTGCTTGCAAAGAGCAGGAGCTATTGATACCCTTTGCCTCTGAGAGCCCACCCAAAATACATGGCAATGGAAGGCAGTCTCTGCATCCTGCGACAGCAGCCGAGCCGGAGTGCGTGTGAGACCTTGATTGGAAACAGGCTGCTCTTCACATTTCAGCTCTGCTTCTGGCGATGTGTGAGAACTTCCTCATTCCTAGATGGTCTCCTCATCCCAGATGAGGGAGCTGGTGTCTGGGGAAGACCTTTAGTATTCATTACAAAAATGTTTCCACCCCCTCATTGTTCTCTCCTCACTTCACCAAAGCATGCGGACAATCTTATTTTTCAGAAGCACCCACCAGCTATCCCTTGACTGGCTCTGGCACTGCTACTCGAGCACCTGATTCAACTCCTATTGGCTTCCATTGATGCAAAGCACTCCACTGGTTTCAGTGGGACCTGAACAGGACCCCAGACAAAGCAACAATAGCGAAATGTGAGGAACTCACATCTTCCACAAGTGACTCATCAGATTTGGGAGTAGGGGGAAAATCCTGAAATACAAGTGGAAGAGCATTTATGCTGGACTGTAGTCATGCAGAAGGCACAGCAAGACCAAGCTGCATTGCTTTGTGGGTTTGGGAGTGATCTCCCCTCCCCAGACACCCCAAATAGCAGAGGCAACGTGGCTGCTCTTCTGGGGAAAGGATGAAATGCCAGTCCCCGGCAGAGCTGCGGGTTCTCGTTCCCGTCCACAGTCACAGCAGATGGAGCATGCCACGCTTCCAGCTGGAGGCAGAGAAGCGTCTCCAAACATGGAGGGAGGGGCGTCTCCAGTGCTTACAAAGCCTAGAGGAAGGTCCAGACGATGAGAACAACAAACAGCAACCAAAACCCCGTGGAATATGAAAGGGAGAAATAAGTAAAAGCAGATGGAGTTGTGCCACAGAGGGCTCTTCCCTCGCATTCCCGGCATACCAAGAACGGTCACCTCCCCTGCCCAGATTGTCTGTGTCCTCACTGAACAGGGCAACTCTGCTCTCAGCTCCGTCTGGCAGCCCTCATCCACAGGGAATGCTAAACCTCACAGCCCTAACACACACATTGCAGACAAACTTTTAACCACCTCCCTTGCTCCAAAGCAAAGCCAACTGCACTGGAGTCCCGGCATGATGAAGGCACAACACAGGTACAAAATTAAACAGATCAAAAACCTTTGAAATTTCGTACAGTACTTTGTTAGCTTCATTGGTTTTCCAGGCAGGTTCAAACCTAGTCACGCATATTCTGGTCTAGACATCAATTTAAATATCACTTTAATGCAGAATTTTACCTTGATTCAGTTACGTCAGGGCAAAGACCTATCTGAACGGGGTCAGTTTGTCCTACGCCACATCCTGATGCACCCACAGAGTACTGTGCAGGGATTTAACTGACTTCTTTAACAATAACTTCCATTTAACAAATGCAGGTTTGTGTATAGGACAATCCTAAGCAGTGCTTGGCCTGGACTGGGAAGATCTTTGTACATTGCATACCCTGGTGCAGATGTGTTTCTAGGATAAAGATGGCATCTCAAGCACTCACAGACCACATCCATATCCTCAGCGAGATACTGGTGTTAATCACGATGAAAAATGACATTGCTTTAAAAGGAGCAGCCCAAACAGAGTGGTATAACGTTTTTGCACAAACCCTCAGACCTTCGCCTGAAAGCAGGGGCCAGCGGTTACTTCTGAACCCAGATAGCCATGCAACAGTGGCACTGGATTGTTTAATTTGTTTTCTGGAAAATGCTGCATTGAAGCCAGGCCGACAAAAGTGATACAGTACCCAAGGCATTTTTGCCATTTGTTAAAAACGCCAATTAATTTACTAGCATAAAATCCAGTATATTTTAATTGCTGACTAATTAGCAGAAATCTTACTGGGCCTGTGCCTAAGGCTTGCTCTGAAGGAGGAAACGAACAGAAGT